TGAGTCTCTATTCCTACCACAGTTGCTCCTATTACTAGGACTACAGAGACGATCTCGTCGTCTATCGCATCATCCGAGCCACCTCAGATAGTCACAGTGATAGCGGCAGATGTGGCTCCACTTCCTACAGTGATACTTCTAGACTCACAGGCAGTGCTAGAGTAGACCCAGACCGCTTCACCTTCACTTCCAGCAACAGAGGGTCAAACCGCTCAGAGTTCAGGGTCAGAGGATGATGCTGCTCAGTTCTAGATTTCTCATCGCACCTCAGCGCCTGAATCGTCTGCTCCTGTCCCGTCGTCCGACCCTTAGGTTTTGGTGCTTGACGCTAAAGGGGGAGAGGGATCGAGTATGTTAGATCTAGGGGGAGCATATGATTCATTTCTTTTGGTTCTTTATGTGTGATACATTATGCATTCACGTTTACCTTCATGCACTGCATTACATACTTATGATGGTGACACTTATGTGACATGTGTGCTCTCTACTTTGATTTATATATATGTCATGTCACTTGGTTATGCTCATTTGTTTTGCTTCTGTGTTTTACTCCGATTCAAATGAGCTTTACTTTTTGTACTCATGCTTAATTCTTATCTATTGAGTACACCATGTTGACTTGGGTCATATAAGCACGTCTAACTCCTTTGCTTTTATTGTCAAAAGCTTATATGAACCAACCATGTTAAAAACCTCACTCATCTCTTTTACATACTCGAGGTTGTGTTGTCATCAATCACCAAAAAGGGGGAGATTGAAAGCATCTAGGCCCCTAGATGTGTTTCGGTGATTAATGATAACACGAGATTACTATGACTAACGTGTGTTTTGCAGAGGCAATTTGAGTTAGGTCATAGTAATGGCAATTGATTGGGCAATCATGGTGTCATGCCCCTGACGATGGAAATCGTTTTGGTTTTCAAAGGATGGACTAGTTCTAAGTGTCGTTTGGTGTTGAAGAGACACTTAGAGTAGCTTAGGACTTTGTTTTTCCTTTGGCCATACTATTAAGGGGGTATGGACTAGTAGCTTGATCTAGGTGAGTCTAGTGGGTTAGGTGTGGTGCACACTTGTCAAATCTAGCACTAGGTAGCTCAATAGTAGCCCTAAGATCAATTGGAGCAAACTGCATTCACATATGATTTTGAGTTGGAAGTGAATGGAGGGTCAAATGACTGACCGGACGCTAGTCTAGTTGTGACCAGACGCTGAAGGTTGAATCCGGTCAGTTCATTTGATCAACTGGAGCCATGTAGTTGCGATCGGACGCTGGGTGAAAGTGACCGGACGCTGGGTGCCTACGTCCGGTCAACTCTAGAGAGGTTCTAGAGATGGTTTTTCCTGACCGGACGCTGGTCAGGATCCGGTAACAAACCGGACGTTGAACAGTGAGGTGACCGGACTCTGGGTTCCAGCGTTCGGTCAACATCAGTAAGGTTCCAGAGAGTGTTTTTCATGACTGGACACGTCCGGTCAGTACTGACCGGACACAGGTCAGAGTCCGGTCAGAACTTAACGGCTAGTGGCGGGGATAACTGACCGGAGCATCCAGTCACCCTGACCGGAGCATCCGGTCACCCTGCAGAGTGCTAACTTAGCCTCGCAACAGTTTGTTTTGAATGAGGGGGTATAAATACTCACTCTATTCATCCAAGGGAGGTCTCTTGCCCATTTGTTCAGCTAAGAAACACCCTTGAGAGTGCAAAGGAGAGCAAGAGCCTAGTGAGGTGATTGAGATTTGAGAATCCAAGATTAAGGCCTCATTAGTGCAAGGAGAGTAGCAAGTGTGCATCCACCCTTCTCATTAGGCTTGTCGTGGTCAAGTGAGAGTTTGTGCTTGTTACTCTTGGTGATAGCCATCACTTAGATGGCTTGGTGGTGATTGGGAGTTTGGTGATCATCCGACGGAACTTGTGGATAACTCAACTCAAGTTGTGAGCGGTTGTGGGCGATTCACCATGATGGAGTGTCAAAGAATCAACCCGTAGAGAGCACTTGATCCTTGCGCGGATCAAGGAGGAGCTACACCCTTGCGCGGGTGCTCCAATGAGGACTAGTGGGGAGTGGCGACTCTCCGATACCTCGGCAAAACATCGCCGCGTTCCTTTCCCTCTCTTTACTTTGAGCATTTACTTTTGAGCAATTCATTTCAAGTCTTTACATTCCTAGAATTGCCATGCTAGAATAGGATTGGAACTTAGGGTGCTAAACTTTTGTGCGGTAGAACAATAGAATCACATTCTAGGCACAAGGGGTGAAGTGGGCTAAGTGTAGGACTTAATTATTGCAAAGAATTTAGAATTAGCCCAATTCACCCCTCTCTTGGGTATCTTGATCCTTTCACCCAGGAAAATGAACAAGTGAAATCAACAATCTAGGATTAATTTTCACCTTTATCTCTCCTTAATAACTCATATCCAACGATTCTAATTCATCCCGTCCTCCCTCCCCCCGCGCGACTCATGATCACAGGCCCGCACATGACTCCTCGACTTATGTCTCCTTGGCAACCTGCACCCCTCACCGCACGTGTCCACAAAGCCGGTGGTCCTCTCCCAGGGACAGGAGCGTGACTCCTAGGGAGACGCCGCACACGGACACCGCACGCCTCAAAGCAACGACGGCAGATAAGCCACGATTGGCTAGGGTGGGGCCACTCGAGGTGCCTTGGGCCAGAGTAGCAGCACAGTGGCTGGGCGTAGGCAGCGTGTGTGATCAGGGTCCGACCCGCCACCTAGCCATCTCCACCTTATCACTGTGAGGCGTCGCGTGATTACAGGTGACGTGGGTTCGTCACTGTGGCAAGCATCATTGTTCATTGGATGTCAGGATTGTGGGTCTCCGGTGGCTTGGGCACTCAAGAACACAAGAGGATACACGGCGATGTATCCTAGTTCAAGCTTTCGAGGCCCTATGTCCAGCAGAGAGTAGTCTTTGTATTCGAGAGCACCCAAATCGAGGGGTTACAACCAAGGAGAAAGAGAGTTTGGCAGGGGATCGATCGATGCTATCCTGAGGCTCATCGATGGTGGGGTTTCTTCCCTAGCAAGTAAGGGAAACACTCCTCTCTATTGCTAGGTTGCCAGGTGGAGGAACACTGTGTTGTTCCTCTTTGTTGCTGTGTTCTCGGCCGAGCTCGACTGCTCAGCCTCCTAGAGAATGAGGGAAGGGAGAAGATCACCCTGACTATGGGAGCTGACCTTCTCTGATATCCTGGGGAAGGTTGGGTACAAGGCAACTTGTGGGCTACAATTCGTAGCCTTCGTGCACCGGGGTCCTAGAGGGTGCTGCTGCGGCATGGATGGACCTCGGCGTTGTCATGGAGTCAGGGGTGCTGAGGGCGTCGCCTGGTGTCGCTGTGGCCTTGGTGCTTGATTGACAGGGTCTGTCTGCTGAGGATCGGCCTCCACCAGGTGAGCCTTCTTGAGGCTTCCTTAGTGGAGAAGGTGCCCCAGCTTAGGGGGCTAATAACAAGTGAGCCCGGGAGCCCCGCATCCCTAGAGCCGGTGGAGCAGCTTGTCCTGTTGTGTCATGCCGCGTATGTGGCTTTGTTGGAGGAGTGGCCGATAGTGCCTCATACCCGTTGTTCGGGCAGGCGCTGGGGGGCCCCCGAGCCTTGGATGCTCGGTGGGCTGGCCAACGCTTAGGAAGTGGCTGACGCTCGGGGCGTCGGTGGCTAGCCCGACCATTAGCTTGGGTCGGGAGGTGAGCTGGGCTCAGGCTCAGTCTCTCATTGGTCGGTTGCTCAGGGACTTGTTGAGCCCCGAGCCCTGAGCAGAGGCAGGGGCGTGCTTGGGCTACGCCTAACTTTGACCTGAGAGTACGCACGAGCATACCCAATGGGTATAGCCCCCCGAACCCTCGAGCGATCCTGGAGGGGTCTGTCGGGGGGGGGGTCTATCGGTCGGGAGCCTTTCTTTTAGGGACTTAACATACCCCTATGTTTGACTCTCGTCACCATGGACCTTGACGCCTCGGGCAGTGGCGGCGGCAAAGGGCTGACCATGAGTGGCTAGGGCGAGGGAGGCGAGTGGGCGGCCAAGACACGGCCGCCGAAAGCGACTTGGAAGGTGGGGGGGAGGCGGTCGTGGGCCGACCAAGACGCGGCCGCCGGGCGTGGGCAGCTACTTGGAACGGAGCAAGGCCATGAAAGGCTGGGGTGGGCGGCGCGGGGTAGCTTGCGGCGGAGCAGCACCGCAATCGCCGGGCACAGGCAGCGCGGCACGGCTTGGAACCCGCTTGTCGGTTCTTGCCCTAGGGCTACTCCTCTAGCATCGAACCCGCTCACCGGTTCTATTGTTGAGAAGTAATCTTGATGTGTGACGGCTATTGTGGTATGATACTCAACCGGAATCCTAGCGTAGTGGAGATGTGGATGGCATCTCTCCAAGGATCACTGAGGTTGATTTGTTTAAATTGAGTTGGTCAAGTGGATAATACCCGATTTAGGTAGATTAACGGGACGGGTCCCTATGTAGGGCATTACAACATTCTAGTCTTGTTGCTCTAATATATGAAAGATTGAAACAATTTTAGTAATGATAAGTACAAAAATCAATATTACGTAAAATAAACAAATAAGTTTAGCTAGAATACTAGAGGAAAACTAAGGATGCAAGTGGGCTAGTCCCGCAAACCCGCATATAAGCTTAATTTGACGGGTTAACAATAGTTTCATTATGGGCGGTAAGGTTGTTAAAAAAAGGCATAACCCACATATTTGAATTACAACGCACACTCTATCCCAGAAAGATGCGATTCTAGTATAGAGCTAAGTCAAAAGTTTGACTAAATTTTATGTAAAAAAATGCTAATATTTGCCATACTATTATCATTGTAATGATATTTTCATAGCATCTATTTGGAGCCATGAATGTTGATATTATTTTTTATAAACTTAGTCAAACTTTGTATAATTTACCATAGGTTAAACCTAAAATTATTTTACCATTCCTGGTACGGGTGTAGTAGTGACTAGCTAGTGTCTGTGCAGCACTTACCCTGGTCTTGTAGTTCCAAATTTCAATGCCAGGTGCCTCACATGTCGTAATTAGAACCCTGCGTGTACCACATAACAAGTTCTGTGAGATCAAATAACAGTTGCGTTGAAGAATTCGATGAACGAATAATCAATGCTAATCCGTGTCATTTCGATGGCGAGTAAATAAACAATCTTTGCACGCACCATGGCTGCAATGGATGCACGTCTATGGTAGCATAAGTAGGATTCAGGGATAATACCTGATCAAATCAAACAAACGCTAATTACCACCGAAAGATATATTCGTCATATATTATTATGAGCAAAAAATAAGAAAAATAAATTATGTATATACCTCAATTCTGGGCTGTATTGGTGTAACAACACCACGAAATTAACAGTCGCACAATGACGCCCAAGGACAAATTAAACAGAGAATAAGTATATTACAAATAAAAGTCACTACAGAAAAAAAAATGATGTGATCTCAAATTCTCAATCCATTTGTCATTACGGGGAGTGATAAGTTTTACGCTTTCTCTTTTGTTGTCGGCGGGACATTTAATATCACTGGAAATAAAGCAATTAATTTGCCCCCCAAGATGAGCAGCAAATTTACAGAACATACCTTGGATGCTAGCTGGCTTGCACACTCAGAAAGGCTCGTTATCTTCACTACTTTCGACTCATCATGAACCGCTTCTAATTTGGTAAAAGAGCAGCCAATGTCCCAGAAGGCCACTTGGGCTACAACGCTCTCGATGTGGATCGTATCCAGGTTTGTGGGTGGCTTCTGTTGCTTTTGCATCGTCAAAATGTAAGTCTGAGTGGATCGTGCAGGCACAATGCCTCGGAGCGAATTGGCAAAGATGTCTGGGGTATTTGTCTGAATCCTGAAGGAAATGCCATGATCTGCGTTGTTGGTCAGGTGCACTGGACATGGAATCAGCTTATCTGGCTCGAAGGGGAAGCAGAGATAGGGAGGCTGGACAACAAATAGGTGCTGGTACAGTTTATCAATAGTTTCTTCTGTTTCATTCAACATAGTGATGATATCCTCAATACAGGGCCTTTTGTGGCTGTTGGATTCCACACAGTTCAGTGAGATCTCAGTGCAAGTCTTCACTTGGTTGCAATACGCATCCAAATACGAAGCATCTTTCCACCCTGCCGCCAGTAGCATTTTTCTCCAGTTTCCTTGAACCTGCAACTGAAGTGAATCAGGAAACGCCATACCTGACTTGACTATCAAAACGTGAGGAGCCAAAACTACAAGAAAAAAAAAGGCCATTATCGTCCTCATAATGGGAAATGACTTCTCATACCAGATCAATGAAGTCTTGGGGAGTGGACATATCAGAATATGTGGAGCGGCCATCGGGTCCTGCCAATACTTTTATCATTATGACACCCAAACTAAATACATCAAACTTGTTTGTGATTTTCCCCTTATCTACAAACTCTGGTGGCGCGTATCCGCTGAAATATATTTGAAGCATCACATTGTAAGTAAGAATGATGTGTAAACCTAATTAATTTATTTCATAGAAAAGATGGCCCAAAGTAATCTGCTTTCTAATATACAATACGAAAAACAGAAAATAGTACATTGAAAAGGCCAAAAGGCAACTATTTCTAATAATTACTGAAAATACCCCCATTCACCCATTAAAAGAAATTTGCAATGAAGTTCAATAATATCGTCTTCACTAAAATTCAACCATGATTACTAATTCATGCAATTCCCTGTCACCATCCATGTTGGTACCTGTAGTGGAAAGGAAACCCAAAGTGCAAAGCTAGAATTGGATAAACCCTGATCTAAAAATGGCTTTTGGACTGCCCACTCGTGATAATAGAACCATAGATTTGCTTATGAACATTCAGCAGAACCGAGGGGGGGGGGCATCAACAAATACTTGCAATGCTCCTACACCATAAACCAAATATATAATGCAACCTCACCCGTACAAACCGCTGGACAGGCCAAGCCAATCGTTCCTTCTCTCCTCACTCCATATCACGCCCTTGTGCCACCACACAACAAGGTTGAAGCACTGGATGATCCATATTTGAACAATAGCTGCTAAGATCTAATGCTTCAAGCCTTCAACTGAAGTTATAGATATGATGAACAGCACCTCACAAACCCTTCGCTACACTGACAGGTCACAGGTGGAGCATGGCTGAGACGGACAAAGAGCTAGAGGATAATTGTTCCAATGGATTCCTCGAACAACTTTGGCTAGCCAGCAGTGACATGGACACAAAGCCATAACCTGTCATGCTACCATAAAGAAGAAACAATAAGAGCAAGATGGCCAGGGAAACAAAGTTGAGAGACCTACTAGTAGAGTCAAGGAGGGTTTTCCCAAGCCAAGGACAGGTTCGATGTTTAATTTGTCATTAACTCTCAAAGCTTACTTTGAGAGATTGGTCCCCTCTCCCCCTCCCCTCTTGATGGGATTGTCAAAACCCTTCATTAGAAATGTGTCTAATATTTATTTGTACTAATTGGGGTTATAGTGGACTTGTGTTGTAATTAGCAGTAGGGGTTAGATGAGCAAGGTTTGTTGGCTCTTGTAACCCGGCCCTCTATAAAAGGAGGAGGGCTGCACTTGCAACCCACTCTAACATGAGAGTGAGAAGCAACACATGGTGACAGGCTGGGGGGTGCTGGCGGCTTTGGGCGGCACCCTGGGCAGCCAGCTCAGTAGTTTTTGGGAGGAGTGCCCGTAAGCATGCCCCAGGGATGTAGGCTTCGGCCGAACCTCGTTACCAAATATCGAGTCTCTTGTGTGGTGTGCACGATCTCTCATGAGCATCTCGCCTAGGTAGATTCAAACAATCGCTTCCGCATTAGGCGCCGGAATCACAACACACAACACACCCTAGCCAAAAAATAGTTCTAGTGTTTTTGTGCAAAAGATCATATGCAGATAAGTGATACCTTGACATTTAAGTGCAAAACTCGGCTTCTTTTAA